TTATTATGTTCTCGTCCTGAAACATGCATGAAATATTTGCCACTACATGTTAAGCAACCAACAATCAATCGGGACTACCAGTAGAAAATGATCACTATTTCTTGTTCAATTCTGAATGATAAATGAACATAAAAAGTCTTTGTTTTCAATTTTACAATGTCTGGTGGAACAATTTAAATTTCGATTTCAAAGAAAGAAACCTAGAAATCCAGACCATTCATTATGCCTTTTGCATATATTATAAGAAATATTTCCATTAAGCGCGATGGTCAGTGTTCCTCATTTGCTCATCAACTTTGAATCGTAGTTCTGATAAATCAAGGACATCATTTTGTCACCGAGTGCCGCTCTAAAGGGTGACTGAGGAATAGAAATATGGTCACTACAGGTTTTACTTCCAATAGGCAGTAATACTCTTGCCAAAGTGGGACGTCTGTTTTGCTGTGGTGGATATACAAGTACGCAGCCATGTCTAGTCGGAATGGGAACATTTATTTATATGCCTCTTGAAGAAAGAGAGCTACACACTCTGTAGGTTTAGAACCGTTGAAACAACTTTGATAGATCTGTAGGTGGCCTGTTGAAATTCTAAATTTTTGTCTCATATCCAATATATCCTCATTTTCCAGTGGCAGTGTAAATACCTACCGACCCTCATCCTGGACGACCTCTACTAAAGGACCCATCTTTTGTATTTAATGTTAATTTGTTCTCTTCCTGAACATGCATGAAATATTTGCCACTGGACGTTAAGCAACCAATATTCAATCAATCATCCCTGTATGCCCAGTTGTTCATATGATTATTATAAAATTTTACGTAAATATTACTGAAAAAAGACACAAATTACGGAAATATTAATGCCTTTTTACTGATTGCACTCAAAGGGGGTTTGCATCTATGGTAATGTAGACTTGACCTTCATTTGATATGCGACAAAACCATCTTCTAGGATTTTTTGCACTTAAGAACCCATCCAACTCATTTTTGGGGGACATCAATTTGATATTTGAAATGTACACATTACGTCCATTCATTTGATATGCGACAACCTTACTATCTTAGAAGTTTTTATTTTTGCACTTAATGACCCCATCCTTCTCTTTGCCCTTAATGACCCCACCCTTCTCTTTAGAATGGAAACGTGGGTTTAAAAAATTCTTTTTTTGAATAGAGCTCATTTAGATGTTCAATGTGATATGTCACATGACCCCATTTGGTAAAGTCCAAAAAAAATGATACAATATCTATTTTATAAATAGAACTTATGAAACTTATGTAAAAAGTCAATGTAAAACATGAAAATTTCAAACTGCTTATATTCTTTGTTTTTTATCTATTGCTTTTGGTATTTAGTCAAACAAGCCATGTTAGACTCTTCAATTTTTGAAAATTTCAGGCAGCCAACTGTTGTTGATTTAGAAATTTTTGCCCCCCCACCTTACCAAATTTCAAACTGCAATATCTCTAAAATGACAACAGATATCTCAAATCTGCTAATTATATAAGTGTAAGATGATATGCAGATGAAGTACAACATTTTCAAAACAAACAAAAAATTTGGGCAATTCCATTGCTCATTTAAGGCACAATGAATAATTAAAAGTATGATGCAATACTGAACTTGAAAACTTTTAGTCGTTTAGAGACATGGACTACCGCCATTCAACTCTGGACCACTAGACCTTTCAAAAGGTCACACGGTCAAGGTTATAGTAACCTTTGAAGGTCAAGATGAAATTTCCTCATGACATTGACATCAAATTGAAGTTCTTGAAATACTGATCATTTTTGCAGTTTATAGTAGGTTGATATGCGTTACCATTTCAAAGATATACACAAAAAACTATACTTTAAAGAATGATCTTGTCGTAACTTTTGAACAGATGGTTGGACAGTTTTGAATCTTCTGTATAAAATGTAGAGCTCTTCGAAAGGAACATTTATTTGCTGTGTGTATGCAGATATCTCTTATTGTTTTCCTAACATTTAAGCTTGAAATTGAAGCTTAAAAACTTTTTGCACTCTTATGACCTTTGACCTTGGGTGCAAATGAAAACTCACATGAACTTAAGATAATTGGTGAAGGTCCCATGTCTCTACAACTTCCAGTTCTCGAAATATAATTTTTATCTCATCTGGTAATAATTCATAATGAGATCTACCTATTGTCCAAATAAGGTCATGATATCTTCAAAATCAACTAGGGATGCCATGTCGAAAAAAAAACCAATAAAAGGGAGATAACTTCTAAATGGGATGATGAAATCCTACACAGCGCCATCTGGTAATACTTCATGATGAGATCTATCGATGGTCTTGATAACCCCAAAAGAAACAGTGGTAGGCCATGTAAAAAAAATGCTGGAAGAAAAAACATAAGAAAAACAATAAGGTCTTTCCCAATGTAGAGTAAAGACCTTAATAATCAGCTAAAATTTCAATTTGTTTGTTGTTTATATAATACTTTAGAAAGAAAGAATCAAATCAAAATCTGGTAGCTCTATAATTATTGCACACATTAAAAATACCATAAAGCTTGAAAACGAAATTTGCAAAGTATATGAAATCACTAGACTGTGAATGAACTTGCAGCTTAGAAAAGTTTACTGAGAACACATGACTATGAAATGTTTTTACAGAGATTTCACAAAAATGTGATAGCTAGAGAGTTATTTGCTAACAAACTAAGATCTTGGGAGTCTCAGAATTTGACCTTAGAAACACCATGATAGCTGTAAACACTATGTGTTGACAAAAGTACTTAGAAACAGTTTTACTGAGAATTCACAAATTGTTTTGTTTATAAAGAAAAATATGTAATTATTGTTTTATACCACCCCCTTCAAATGAAAAAAAAGTTGAGGTTATGTAGGAATCACTGTCCATCCATCTGGCTTTGTGTCCAGTGCATTACCTTTATGCTGTAATACTTTGGTTAACCATACTTAGTATGCAATTGCATCTAAGGCTGGGGGTGTCATATTCCAAAGTCAGGTTGCTTTGACCTTGACTTTGACCCATTTGATAGTGAAATCATGTCCAATTCGTGTCCTGCTCAAAACAATTAATATAGATTTAAACAATTAAATTATGATGTAAAAAAACATTAACATAGTTCAACTTCCAGATACATTGACCAATATGACGGTCACTTTTGCCAAATGTGGTAAATTAAAACAGTCACTAAAAACGACATTGGAATTTGTGCACTTTCCTGTATATGTTACAATGCTAATTCTATTATATCACAGTAAGAACCAAATGTTTGATGACTTTGTTTTCACCATTGACCTCGGATCAACCTATGTTCTACATACTGGATGTGCAGGAAGTGCCAACAAATTAAATAACTAAAAGAATTATAAATATGTATACGTGTGCTTTCATTTTATCGTTTCTATGTTCAATACATAATTTTCTATTCATATAATTAGAATTTGTTAAAATATGTAAAACAACATATACGGGACAATGACACAAAGACAGTACAAAATATCTCGATGCTACATGTATACACACACACACACAAAAACACATAATTTGGAAATGAAAATGATATTATTGTTACCTGCAATTTCCATATGAAATTGGGCTCCTGTCCGGAAATACATTTCGACAATTAGTCTCGGAAGCAACAATAATTATTTCTCATTGTTACTTTTTGCGGGTAATCGTAGCCAGTGCCTATTTCTATTATGGTCCCTCTATTTTCAACAAGTACTCCAATCTTTTCTAAGATGTGCAATATTTTCACATTTTGGCATATTTCAGTATATATGTAACCATAGCTATTATATCTATGATGTAACCAAATTAAAAATTAAAAATGCTTAGAGATGGCTTGAAACAGCAATTTGTGGTTGACTCTGGTAAATATTAAGAACTTATTGTAAAACTGATATAAGAAATGACATTCTTAACCGAAAGCAAAATTTTTAACAACTTTTTATTTTTAACAAAGTGAGTGTAATTCACTTATATATTGAAAGAATTTTATTTGCAAAATACATATATTGCTAGCAAACGAAGATATTGTCACAAAGAAAATGCTTGAGCTTAATTTATAAAGGAACTAGTGCGAAAGACTTACAATATATTTACAAATGCTTAATCTTTAACAAATGTAACACTTGAAGATTATATTTGGGCTCAAGTTGTTTATTTTATGTTCTGAGTGAGTGAGTGAGTGGCAAAATATTTCATTCATATTCTTTGTTTGCACAATATAGACTTATCAGAGTAAGGAAGGACTCACCACTGCAAACAGTGATGAGTCCTAGGACTCCCCTAAAAGTAGCACAGTGAAACCTCTATACATCTGTCAGAAAGAAACAGCAATAACAAGCAAAAGACATCTAGAGGGCACATGTTTAGAGTTTTGGTAGTGTTATTTCCTAAGAATTTTGCGTGCAGCTGAATGAATTTTCAAGAATGTTAAAATTTAAACAAGAAATGAAATAGACTACCCATTTAAGCACTACCAAAGCAATTATCTGGATTTACATTTATGGGAATACTTATCAGTTAAAAGATCAGAATGCCAAATACAAAACAAAACTTAAGCAAATTAAGACAAAATTAGTTAATATTAGCTAGCTTTTGATCAAAATTCAATATCTGGTACTTTTGTGGAAGTGATTTTCAAAGATTTTTTTTGGAAACAAGAAATTTTCCATAAAAAATTATAAGTTTGCTATCACCAAAAATTCTTTGTAATATATATATATATGGATATAACTGTTCCATCTTGTAAGGCCAAACTTTAAAAAGAGAAACTGTGGCCTTAGATTGTGTTGTTTTGTACATGTGTGGGTTGTTGAATTTCAAGAAAAAGATACATTTTGTGGTAAATGAAAGAAAGGTGGACTCTTGAGAAGGAACTCATAAGAGGGGTTCTAAACTATACTATAAAAAAACTTATTTCTTAACTATACTAAAAAATCTTATTTCTTAACTATACTAAAAATAAACTTTATTTCTTAATTTTGTATTTTCAGCTATAGTTATAACAGTTATCCATAGGTAAGGCTATATATATATTAAGAAAATACTAGGAGACTTTTCCAAAATAGAAATAGGGTGCATGAAGTAACTACACAATACAATGTGGACAGAAATATACAAACTATTTTCAAGTTCTGTTTCTTTATTAAATTTGTCATAGACTCAGTTTTGCTAGTCTTTGGGCAATTTAATTTCATTTAAAATCATTTGATATGGTATTGTTTGAAGTTCTTTTTTGTTTTTATTCCCCCACTGTAGCGGAGGGGGCATTAAGTATTACCCTTGTCCGTCCTTCTGTCCGTACGTACGTCCAAAAATTGGTTTCCGTTCTCTAACTTTAGTTTTCCTCAACCAAATGTTATGAAACTTATACACAATGCATGCTTATTACCACAAAACACAGATCAAGTTTTTTGGTGGCAACACTTTTACCGTTCTACAGTTATGCCCCTTTACAAATGGAAAAATTGCTGAATTTTTGTTTCCGTTCTCTAACTATAGTTTGCCTCAACCAAATATTATGAAACTTATGCACAATGCTTATTACCACAAAACACAGATCAAGTTTTTTGGTGGTGTCACTTTTACCGTTCTAGAGTTATGCCCCTTCACATGGAAAAATTGCTGAAATTTTCGTTTCCGTTTTCTAACTTTAGGGTGCCTTAACCAAATGTTATGAATCTCATATATAATGCTTATTACCACAAAACTCTGATCAAGTACAAATTTGGGTAGCGTAACTTTTACCGTTCTTGATTTATGTCCCTTTAAAACATTATATGCAAGCGGGGGCATCATCTGTGTCCCATGGACACATTCCCCATTTATTTACAATGTTGTTTTATTAGATATCATAATTTGTGATTTGTTGTTGTTTGGATATGTCATGTATGTTGTTTGTTTTTAGTTGAGGTTTAACTGGCCATAAATCATTTTCTTTTCAAACTTTTCCCCAGATAATCAAAATTTAACCAAATAATGAAATTTAAGGCTAAATGTAATTAAGTACACTCTGTATGCTAGCCTTAGGATACAAAGAAAACATGAGGATTAATTTAATCTATAATTTGGAGAAAACACACACAAAAACATGTCTCCTCACTGAATGTGTTATACAAAAAATGTATATTGGTGGCCTTGGGCTGTTTTCTGCTCTTTGGTCGGGTTATTGTCTTTTTGACACATTCCCTGTTTCCATTCTCAATTTTATATGAAGAGTGTGTAGTATTCTGCAATGATCTTGTTTGCCGATACTTTCAATTTTTCAATATGACAAATTCAATGAACTTCAAATTTTTCGTGACATATATTTCTCAGGCTACTTAACAGAATTAATTCATATTTAGACAGCAGCTCAACAGTGATGAGTTGTAACATGATTGCAATTTCAGGAGTTTGAACATTTTTTTTTTTCAGAAATCATGTGTATGGTATGTTTGAAAGAGAAAGACATTTTTCCCATTTATCAAATCTTGAAAGGGAACTGGCCTTTCGCACAGAAATGGTTTGTAATTATACAAATTGATTTTGTAGAAAAATTTTGTTGGGTAAAGCTGGACAAATTTTTATTTTCAGGACAACCCTATCCATTGCTTGATTGGAATGAAAATTATACAGATGGAGGCATTTGCCTCGATCAATATTATTGTTTGCCACCCCTTTCCCAAGAACAATATTGTTTTGCCACTTTAAATTTTTGTCTCGCCTTGACGGAGTCAAAAAGCGAGACATAGGTATGCTGTTTCCGGCGGCGGCGGCAGCGACGTCAACAATGTATTCGTTTGTGATTAGTCTAGTTCATGGTGAACCACTAGTGGTAGGTCAATGATATTTGGTATGCAGTTGTATTAGCATTGGCACATCTCATTACCATAGAGATTATTTGGCTCTGCCCCCTCAGTCAAGGTCTATTGACTTTGAAACTTTTCATAGTTTACATGTATTAGTTTGTGATTAGGTCAATTTATGGGGAACCACTAGTGGTAGGTCAATGATATTTGGTATGCAGTTGTATAAGCATTGGCATATCTCATTTCCATGGAGATTATTTGACTTCGCCCCCTTAGTCATGGTCTATAGACTTTGAAAATTTTGCTAAGTTAACATGTATTAGTTTGTGATTAGGTCAGTTCAAGGGGAACCATTAGTGGTAGGCCAATGTTAATTGGTGTTCAGTTGTATAAGCATTATATAGCACATCTCATTTCCATGGAGAATATTTTGCCCCGCCCCCTCAGTCATGGTCTATTTACTTTGAAACTTTTGCTTAGTTTACATGTATTAGTTTGTGATTAGATCAGTTTAAGATGATCTGCTAATGTTAAGTCAATGATATTTGGTATGCAAATTTATTGGCATTTGCAAGTATCGTTTCCATGGAGATTATATAGCCCCACCCCTGATCATGGTTCATTGACTTTGAAACTTTTACATAGTTTACAAGTTAATGTTTGTGTTTAGGTTTGTTTAAAGGGAACGACTTATAATAAGTCAATGGTATTTGGTATGCAGTTGTATTAGCATTGGCACATCTCATTCCATGGAGATTGTTTAGCCATGTACCTTCAGTCATGGTTCATCAACTTTGAATATTTGCATAACTTACATTTTAAAGTATTGCTATTTTAATTTCAACATTTGCATTATCAAAATTACAAAAAGGCGAGACATATCTCTGTGATAACAGTTTATTGATTTAGGGGTCAAGTAGATCAAAGTTCAAGGTCACATGTGTTGCTGTTATAAAAGATGTAATTTGGAGTGAAACATATTTGTTACAGGTCTATGATTGACTATAAGGTTTCCACATTCTGTAGTCCATGTAGTCAACATTTAGTTTCAGTATGGGTTAAAGTGTGTTTAACAGCCATTACTTTGGACAAAAGCTTTTTTTATGAAAACGAGCCTTTCTTAAATGAAATTTCCAACTTCATGGGTACTATGCATTAATATGTCTTTGATTTCTGGAAACTTACAACATAGTTATTTATGTATTCTATATTATGTCAATTGTTTACAATAGTTCATCAAATATTGACATAATTGGTCAGCAACCATTAAAGATATATTAAACACACAAATCACCAAAAAAGTAAATATTTTCTTTTTCTGGCCTAGTATACTATCTGAATTGCACCCTTTAAGAACATGCCATTTTTTTCTTTTCTATGAATAAATGTGGGGTTCAGGGATCATCTGTTGGCATGGCTGTGCCAACTTTCTTTTTGTTTTTAATGTGAAAAAATGTCTTGAAAAACTTGGAAATTATTTCTTAAATTTTGATATTTGATATTTATTTTTATACCCAAATACATGTAGTTTCACAAAAGTAAAAAAAAAATATCGTAATGCAATATATTTGTAATCATGATTTTGATTAAACAACATCATATATTTTGTGGAGGTTTATTCCACTTTTTACTGGTCTGCTACTAAGGGAAGGCACATTTTTTGAATTTCTTAGAATTTGACTTTCTTTAATAATTTTACCCAAAAAGTACATGTCTCAACTGAAATTCTCTGTTTTATCAAATCTATTTCATTAGGCAGTGTACATAAAGCCCATATATGTCTAGTGTTAAGGTTCGACACCAGAATCATATCTATGACGTCATAAATTTTTTTAGCTTGATCTACATACATTGTACATGTAGGTTTGGTTGTCACTCCTGCTTGGCTTTTATATATTTTTGCTTTAAAATCACAATATTCTGAGACTAGCCATGGTCATGTTAAGAGGTCACAAACTTGTTAGAATAATAATAATGATAATTAAAAACCAATGTTTAGAAAATGTCACTTCCGGTCTCATATGATAGCTTTATTTACACTGATTCCAAAAATATATGGTTTATATATACTTTTGCCTGTAAAAAGGGAGATAATTGGCTGCTTCCGGTTTAGAAAATGTCACTTCCAGTCTCATATGATAGCTTTAGTCACACTGATTCCAAAACTATATAGTTTGTATATACTTATGCCTGTAATAAGGGAGATAATATGCTAGTTCCGGTTTATAAAATCTCACTTCCAGTCTCAAATGATAGGTTAATGTATGACAATTCAAAAAATATATGGTTTCTATTTACTTTTCCATGAAATAAATGCAAAAATGACTACTTCTGGGTCACTCAAGGTCGCTTCTGGTTGACATTGTTCAAGGTCCTATGTCACCCAACATTTTTCAAAAGATCTTATGGCTTTATCATGTACCAATTAGAAGTAATAATCAATTTACCCTAAAATAAAATATTTCAGGGGCAATAACTCCTATAAGATGTCATTGGATTGTTTCAGACCTAATGTATCATATATTTATCACAATAAAGCAAACATTCTGCACTAGTTCTTTCATATATATCTTCAAAAGTGTCAGAGAAAATGCAAAAACAAGCAAATGTCAAAATTGAGAACATGACCTTGACCTTTGACCTTGACCTCCATTTCTTCGTATGGGTCCAAGGACCCCCCCAAAAAAAAGACTAGGCTTATACGGCTAACGGTTTATGAGTTACAAAAACATAATGACAAATTTATTTTGTAAAGGTAGATAACCCCTATAAGATTTCACCGAATCTCTTCAACCCAAATCAGCCAAAAATTCCTGAAGATGTAACAAACAAATATTCATCGTTATCTTTTTTGGTTACACTCACAAGAAAATTAATGTTTGGGGAGATAACTCTTACAATGAAAAAGTCTTCGGCTAAAAAAGATGAGTTTTAAAAGCGCAATAACTGTTTGATATAATATCCAAAATATCTAAGCGACATCTTGCGAAACAACTTTATACTGCAAGAAAAGGGTTTGGCGGAAGATGAAAAAAAAAAAAATCATAATAATAATCAGAACAAATACAATAGGTCTTTCCACAGTAAGTGGAAAGACCTAATAATAATAATAATAATAATAATAAATTCTTTATTTAAACAGGGTAAACACAGTTAGTTACAACAAACTAATCTTCCCTGAGGCCCTCACATACAAATTACAATACAATCAAAAACAGATATTTACATATAGTTAATTTGGGCACAGGACGTTTGCGCTTTTTTACCTGTAACACGATAGGACATTTGCGCTCCCAATACTGTGGACATTTGCGCTTTAAATTTTGATACACATGTATTAAATTGAGGGGACATATGCGCTTTTTACCTATAGTCGTCTACCTGTAATTTTAAATGAATTGTAATCATTACGTAATAAAATTCAACTTATATCCGTGGTTACTTAGTTCACACTGATGCTGTCTTGAACATAGAGTTTAAGGTTATAGACTAGTAAAGGAAGAACTGCATATGTCATGATGGCTTTTTATCATTGAACAACAGTCGGTTAATTACATTAAAATTCGTTATATTGATGAACAGGGACCTGAATCAAGAGTTGAGAAAGAGAGACTGGGATATGTATTTGCAATGTAGGCGAAATACCTGGGTCAGGACAGATTACAAGAGCTGAATTTGTTCATTCCCTGAGCTACAGATGTCAAGCAAAAACTGACCTGTGATGATCACTATACGCGTCTTTAAGTCTTCAGAATGTTTATTACTATTAGCTATATATAACTTTATTCATGTGCTATAAAATAACTTTTAAACACAAATGTGCTATGAAATGACTATTAATCTTTTAACAATAACGAAAATTATGACTTTAACTCTGCCAGGTCAAACCTACCGGTCCTAAGCCTGGATAAAATAGGAGGGAACTCATAAGAAGCAAATATGGTAAAAGCGCAAATGTCCTATTTTAAAAAGCGCAAATGTCTATTAAAAAAAGCGCAAATGTCCTATGAAAAAGCGCAAACGTCCCGCAATGTTTAATTTACAGTCAAGTAGTTCAATGTATTAATATAAACATGATAAGAGATAAAAATTTTTAAGAGATACATAAAAATTAATTATAAATAAAATAAAAAAAATTCGTAAGGGTTCCGCGGAACCCAGTGTCTCGCCTACTTTTGCTGCTAGTCACAGGCTCAACAAAAATGGGTAAAAAATTATTAAAAATTTTCTTCTAGATACTAGCTTTTGATCATAAACAAGCTTCTGTCCAAGTTTGGTACAAATCCAGGATAGTTTAAGAAAGTTATTAAAATTTTTAAAACTTTAACCAGAGTGAATGTAATGTTAACTGGCAGGAAAAAACTAAGTCCATTTAAAAGTAATATACGGAAAAACAGGAAATATATTTTTACAAAATTTCCTTCTAGATACTAGCTTTTGATCATAAACAAGCTTCTGTCCAAGTTTGGTACAAATCCAGGATAGTTTAAGAAAGTTATTAAAATTTTAAAAACTTTAACCACAGAGTGAATGTAATGTTAACTGGCAGAAAAACCAAGTCCATTTATAAGTAAAATACGGAAAAACAGGATTTTTTTATGCCCCTGCCGTAGCGGAGGGGACATTAAGTTTTACCATTGTCCGTCTACGTCCGTCCGTACGTCCCAAAGTTGGTTTACGTTCTCTAACTTTAGTTTGCCTCAACCAAATGTTATGAAACTTTTACACAATGCTTATTACCACAAAACACAGATCAAATTTGAATTTTGATGGCGTCACTATAACCGTTCTAGAGTTATGCCCCTTTACAAATGGAAAAATTGCTGAATTTTTCGTTTCCATTCTCTAACTTTAGTTTGCCTCAACCAAATGTTATGAGACTTATACACAATACTTATTACCACAAAACTCAGATCAAGTACAAATTTGGGTAGCGTCCCTTTTACCGTTCTTCAGTTATGTCCCTTTATAATTTTTACAAAATTGACTTCTGGATATATACTATCTTATGATCATAAACAAGCTTCTGTCCAAGTTTGGTAGAAATCCAGGATAGTTTAAGAAAGTTATTAAAATTTCAAAAACTTTAACCACAGAGTGAATATTTGTGGCCGCTACCGCCGACGGAATGTAGGATCGCTATGTCTCGCTTTTGCGACAAAAGTCGCAGGCTCGACAAATATACAAATCAAAATAATATATAATTGAAGAACAGAATCTTATAGTGCGGTGACGGAATAGGAAAAGTCGATTATTAAAAGAGTTTAACTTCACTTGATGTTACACAGTACTAGAAAAATGATTTTACTTGAATTTAAGATTAGTCATCAAAAATTCGTATGGTGTAGTTTTTTTTATTTTATCGTTTAGCTAGCAAATTTGACTAAAAATCCAGATCATGAGTGGCATGCAGTTTGACTTGTTTTTCAAAGGCTGCACTCAATTATATTTCTTTTTTTTATTTTATTCAAACTTCACACAATGCTTTATTCATTAATAGAAAAATATAGTCATAAAAGCTATTTGATGACAAATTATGAAGGTACCAAGTACTGTAAACGGAGTCATTTTGTGTTTCACCAGATTCCAACACCTTACAATTAATAAAGCTGTAATGTATAAATTGTATCCTAACTACTATAAATTCATAAAACAGCAATTTCCCTTTTCATATACACAAGATTCTTTTAAGCGATTTTTTTTAAACTTTCAAAATATCTACTATTAAATCATTAACCTAAATAATTTCCGGGAAGTTGTGGCCAGTCCCAGATTGACAAAAGAAATCTCTGTATTACTGAAAAATTATAACACCAGGGTTTTCGATATCACAAACTTGTCAAAACTTTTACTTAGTTTTATCATCCTTACAAGGACGTCATTCTGTAAATATAAATCAACATGTAGATGTCCTATACGTTCAGGTATTTTACATCCCATCTTTTATGGTAATATTCTATACAAAGCACAAAAATGTTGTCATTCACCTCAAAAGCTAACTATACCTTTAAACAGATTTATTCACATGGGAGATATAGTTACAATACTGTTGTTAAGTCATTAAAGATGACATTTTTTGGAATGATATTGATTCACTCATAGGGACTGTGCATTGGAAATAAACACAGTTATTCTAAAACCAGTTGTTGGCATGATACAGGTTATGTTGTTCTGGTATAATTTATCATGGCTTGATACTAAACCCTGAACGGGAGGGTTTGTGTTTGATTTTCATATGATGGAGACATAATTTTTCTTGCATTCTAATTTCTTCTGTAATAATTATACCCCCGCTTTAAAAAAGTGGGGGTATACTGTTTTACCTCTGTCTGTCCGTCCATCCATCTTTCCGTCAGTCCGTCCATCAGTCCGTCCGTCCATCCCATGAATATTTTTCGTCGCATCTTTCTCAGGAACTACATCATAAGGATTTCTGAAATTTGGTTTCAGGGTTTATATAAGTCAGCTATACCGTGTGATGCATTTTCAGATTCATCACTCAACAACAAATGCATATTTGGTCTGGGGGTATCATCAGTGAGCAGTAGCTTGCAGTTTCACTTGTTGCTTTAAAAAATGTTTTGATTAATTATAGTCATTAAAATTATTTGAAAACCAAGTTAAGCAACAGTCGTTTTCTTTCTTTTTCAGGGTCTGTACTATTCTTATTACAAAACCATAATTACAGCACCAACAGTAGTCCTGGGATTATACTCAGTTATGTATGATAATATGACAGAGTACCCGTTGACAATAAATGTACTAAAAAGGTTCAACTTATACCCAGAAGTAGGTAAAATGTTAAAGCAAGGACTTTGCAATATTTAATTTTGAATTGATTAATTGTTGTGATTTATGTTCAATTGCTAATATTTAATACATGTACATGTTCAGGATGAGAACAAATTTCATAAAAAATGTAGGTACAATGTACTGCAAAGTGGTCAGCAAGGATGGTTGGCAGAAAAATTGGACTACCACTGGAAATTGAGGGAATATTTGAAGGGCAGTTCAGCTTTGCAACTGGGGCAATATGCGCAATTGTTTCTCCATAGGCGGTATGCAAAAATGTAGATTTCATCAAAAAACTCTAAAAAATACTTAATAATTTTTCCACTGGAAATCTGGTATTTTCTACCTTAAAAACCACTCTAAAATGGTGTGAATGTCATATTTATCATATAATTAAAGCGCAATGAAGTGCAAATTTTCAAAACTTGACCTTTCACATAATTCTATTTAAATAAAAAGGTTTTTTCGAATGTATTGCAGTGAAAACCCTTAATCAGTGAGAAATGCCCATAAGCTTTTAAGTAAACATTATGATGTCATTAAATAGCGACTGATAAAAATAATGCTAAGCACAGTTTGCAGTGTTACATAACGAACAGTTGCCTTAGGGTTTAAGTCAAAACGTCGAGTCGAAAAGATCAGTAACTAAGCATTTTTATATAATATCAAGACCATAGCAACAGTTTTCATATCAGCATATTTTCATCACCCTGACTGTAATTTCAATTGCATAAAAACCATAGATAAACAATTTAGAGCTTGCCTAATAAAACAAAATGCTTACCAGTAATTCAGAACTTTTTAAAACCTCTTATTTGCCGTCTCAGGTTAAACTGGAATGATATGTCTGAAACTAAAAAAAAAATTTAATCAGGTTGTGTTATCATTTCATTTAAATACAAACTGTATAATTGAGAGGGAAAAATCAAATCCTTGAAAGTTTTATCACAAATAAAGAGATTCTTCTCTCTTGTGGCTTCACAACCTTCATTTTAACCTTTTTTATGAGGAGCAATCAGTAGTAGCTTAATACCAGAAAAGGTGAAGCACTTTGTTTTTAGAAGATTTGACCCTCCCCCTTTTTCACTGAGAAAAGACACTATCTTGTGATTTGTTACTGTGCATTAAAATATATAGCAATTCATGCTTTTCTTAAAATATGTTTGTCTGTTTAATTGCATGTTTTAGTGACCAGCTGCTAATTAATGGTCAAATTATTGGTGTAAAACAATGTATCACTATCAAAAAATATTCGTCCGAAGTGTGTTATTTCCCTTGGTTATCAGCTATTCCTGTAGCATGTGTAGACTGGAATGATAATGACATAACAATGTCTTTAGTGTGTCATGTTGACTTACAATTTAACAATATTAAATCTTTCCAAAAGAAGTTGGTCCCTTTTTCATGTCAATAACATGTGCCAGCGTCTGATGTAAACACAGTTTTTATTGTGCCTAAAAGAAGTGCTCAAGCCCTGTGCCAGTAATACATTTCAAAAGCGAAAATTGTTGCCGATCTTTATAAATAATGTTAATCTAAAACCAGCTGTGATGGCTAGGTATTTATAAAAGACAACTAACCTTCATTTTCACAATTTTCTCTGGTGTACAAGATGCAATCATTCATAAATCAGTCTGACAACTTCAAATATACAGTCTTATAATTTGGGGCAATATGCACAATTGTTTCTCCATAGGCAGTAATGGTAACGTTTTCTTCTGTAGCTCAGTCCATATCGTAAACTTGGATATGTATGACGGCTCGTTTCGAAGCTGAGACATTTTCACATATGTGGTTAAATTTTCGGGGTACGAAGTGTGATTCATTATTCCGTAAATTAGCATACCCCGAAAATCTTTTCGTGATGCGGCTCTTCCTGGTAAAAAATCCCTTTTTTCACACAATAAATTCTTTGAAAATTTAATACTTTGAATACATTTAATAACTCCATAGTTTTTACACATTTATTCTATGGTCCTCTACTTTCCAAATCAACACAAATGGTTAAGCTCAGTCACTTGTTAAAAATAGAAACATGTCCAATATTACTACACAGAGATTTTTTGTTTACACACAAATTTTGTGTTCCTCAATTTGAGGCGCATTAGGCAAGACAGTTTCTAAATGTTAACTGCCAAAAAAAAAGTAAAAATTTAGATGTAGTCCAAGGTTAAAGTTTTTCAGACCAATAACTTTGTCAAATCTTTTTAGAATTTTATAAAACTTTGGTAGAAGCCTTTTTGTGGTTGAGTATTTTCCTGATGGATGGACTTAGTTTTATGCAGTTAAACCTTCATGGAAAATAATGAAACTTCGACAGAAGCTCCTTCAAGATAAAAAACAGAGCTTTTGAAGAAAAACTTTAATCACCCCCTATATTATACTGATAAATAGACTAAGTTTTTGGCAGTCAACATTAAAAAAATAAAAGTGAAAAATAAAAGTTTTGTATTTTTGTTTGCCTTGCATCATGCGACAAATTTTCCTGAAGTCACTGCATCAGAATCTATATTATAATAATGCCTTATTCGAAAAGTAAATACAGCTTATAGGATACATACACATAATGATATTAATTTTATATGCACCTATAATAAGAATTTTTACAAAAATATTAAAGGCACATCATGCACACATTTGCCAGTCTATATGAAAAATTTAAGTCTCATAACAAAAAATGGATAATGAACATACAGACTTTTTTTCTCTTATTTAAAAAGAATGTCAAATATCTTTATTTTTTCTAATGAAAACTAAATATTTATGAAATCATAGAAAATGTCCTGTATATATTGCAAAGTATAACAACAGATTATTTGTATCTCCATAAAGTTTTCAGCAGAGAAAGTATTTTCACAACACAAAACAATTTATTCATGAATGAGTTAAAAAATTCTAGAACATCATGAAATTGAACAGTGTTTAATACAAAGAGATGTGCATGATACCCTTAAAAAAGATGTGATATGAAAGAGGTATCCTTTTCATGTATAAGTACCACAAAATGAAGCTCGGCATAGTTTCATTCATGTAGTCATTTTAATGGAGATGATTTGTGTCTTTTTTATACATTTCTCAATAGGTTGCGCTTGGTATCATCTACAGAACCTATTCTTCTTTCTGTCAGACATTTGGCATCAAAAATAAGATGTGTTGGACAGTAAATAGAGGGAAGGATTTAAGTCCCGTACAAAGTTGTGAAGGTTTGTTATTCTGTGGTTTTTTTCATTTGATTATTTTTAGCTCACCTGGCCCGAAGGGCCAAATGAGCTTTTCTCATCACTTGGCGTCCGTCGGCGTCATCGTTAGCTTTTTACAAAAATCTTCTCCTCTGAAACCACTGGGCCAAATTTAACCAAACTTGGCCACAATCATCATTAGGGTATCTAGTTTAAAAAATGTGTCCGATGACCCCGCCAACCAACCAAGATGGCCACCATGGCTAAAAATAGAACATAGGGGTAAAATGTAGATTTTGGCTTATATCTCTGAAACCAAAGCATTTAGAGTAAATCTGACATGGGGTAAAACTGATTATCAGGTCAAGATCTATCTGCCCTGAAATTTTCAGACAAATCTGACAACCTGTTGTTGGGTTGCTGCCCCTGAATTGGTAATTTTAAGGAAATTTTGCAGTTTTTATACGCCCTTTTACGGGACGTATTATGGTATACCGTTGTACGTCCGTCTGTCCGTCCGTCCGTCCGTCTGTCCGTCCGTCCGTCGTCAACATGTCGGACATTAACTCAAAAACGCTTTAACCAATTTGCTTAAAACTTTGGTGAATTGTTTATATCTATTGACGTGAGCTCCCTTTCGTTTTTTATAAATTTTAGATTTTACGTTACGAGTTATGGGGTTTTATTCATTAAAAAAAGGGGGATTTTCCAGTTTTCTGACAATAACTCAAGAATGCTTTCACCAACTTGCAAGAAATTTTGGTTAATTGTTTATATCTATTGACATGAGCTCCCTTTGGATTTTTATAAATTTTAGATTTTACGTTTCCGAGTTATTGGGTTTTATTCATAAAAAAAGGGGGATTTTCCAGTTTTCGGACAATAACTCAAAAATGCTTTCAGCAGTTCTCATGAAACTTTGATGAATTGTTGATATCTATTGATGTAAGCTCCCTTTAGAATTTTATAAATTTTAGATTTTACATTTTCGAATTATGGGGTTTATTCATTAAAAAAGGGGGGATTTTCCAGTTTTCAGACAAAAACTCAAAAATGCTTTCAGCAATTCGTATGAAACTTTGGTGAACTGTTTATATCTATTGATGTAAGCTCCCTTTAGAATTTTATAAATTTTATTTGTTTATAGTCTGACAACAGATTTACTAAGTATTGCGCAACAGCACAGTGTATTGCACAACAGCAAGAAATCTTTAATTGAATATAAATTCAATTCATATAACCAACTTCAAGTTCTTTGACTACATTTATTCAGAAACCTATAATAGATGTATGTCAAATATTTGATTACAATCCAAATTCAGACCTGTATCAAGCTTGAATATTGTGTCCGTTTTTGCCCCAACTGTTCAGGGTTAGACCTCTGCGGGCGTATCCAGCTGCGCTCAGCGAAGCAGTTTATTGGTTATTATCTTGAATATTATTATAGATAGAGATAAACTGTAAACAGCAATAATATTCAGCAAAGTAAGATCTACAAATAAGTTGTCATGACCAAAATTGTCAGTCGACCCCTTTAGGAGTTATTGCCCTTAATAGTCAATTTTTAACAATTTTTTGTGAATTTTTGTAATCTTTTACAAAAATCTTCTTCTCTGAAACTACTGAGACAAATTTAACCATACTTGGCCATAACCATTATTAGGGTATCTAGTTTAAAAAATTTGTCCGATGACCCCGCCTTCCAACCATCATGGCTGACTTGGTTAAAAATAGAACATAGGGGTAAAATGCAGTTTTTGGTTTATATCTCTGAAACTAAAGCATTTAGAGCAAATCTGACAGGTGGCAAAAATGTTCATCAGATTTAGATTTATCTGCCCTGAAATTTTCAGACGAATCCGACAACCCGTTGTTGGGTTGCTGCCCCTGAGTTAGTAATTTTACAAAAATTTTGCAGTTTTTATACGACCGCAAAAAAATTTTGTGGTCGTATATTGGTATGACGTTGGCGTCGTCGTCGTCGTCGTCGTCCGGCGTCGTCGTCGTCGTCCGGCGTCGTCGTCCGAATACATATTGGTTTTCGCACTCTAACTTTAGTTTAAGTGAATGGATCTTTTTGAAATTTGACCATAAGGTTAAATACCACAAAAGGAAGGTTGGGATTGATTTTGGGGGTTATGGTACCAACAGTTAAGGAATTAGGGGCCAAAAAGGGGCCAAAAATGAGCATTTTCTAGTTTCCAGACAATAACTGTGGAACGGTGTATGGATCTCTCTGAAATTATACTACAAGTTTCCATACCACAAAGGGATGGTTAGGATTTGCTTTGGGGGGTTATGGCTCAAACCGTTTAGGAATTAGGGGCAAAAAAGGGGGAAAAACAAGGTTGTCCTGGTTAATGGACAAATACTTTAGTACAAAACATAATTTAAAGCAGTGTAAGGGAGATAAATCAAATACATCATTGAAATTATCTCCCTTACACTGCTTTTAAATTATGTATAAAGTAATGGTTAATGAACAATAAAGATAATCTAAAACAGTGTAAGGGAGGTAATCCAAATACAACGTTTTGGTTACTTCCCTTACACTGCTTTTAAATTATGTTTAAAGAAATGCATATTTATAAAGGAAGACCAGTAAAAATATCTGCAAATGTTTTCATCTTTTTTTTTTACAAAAAAATCCATATGAAAGATTTGACACTATATTTTTATTAATTCTATTATAAAATAGATTAAGTTAGCACTATGGTAAATTTAAATGGGTAATTATGGTTGCCAACTCCATTGGAAATTTGAATTGAGATTATGACCATATCTTGAGGGAAAGAATTTTTTTGGGGGAAAAAGGGGGGGGGGGGGGATAAAAAGAAATTGTGGGGGGCCAATTTTTTCTCATTTCAGATTTCAGAAATTAAAAAGAATTATTCTTCAAATATTATTTTTTTTTCAAATTTCAAATATTGAAAAATTTCAAGAAGTAATCTTTAATTGCACAGTATGGCGCATTAGATTTGTAAAATCTTTGATCACATTTATTTATTTGTTATGCCGAATCTAACAGTGTATTTAGATTTTTAATTTTGGGTCCAGTTTTCAAATTGGTCTACATTAATGTCCAAAGGGTCCAAAATTAAACTTTGTTTGATTTTAGCAAAAATTGAATATATGAGGTTCTTTGATATGCTGAATCTAAACATGTATTTAGATTTTTGATTTTTGGCCCAGTTTTCAAGTTGGTCCAAATTGGGGTCCAAAATTAAACTTTGTTTGATTTCAACAAAAATTGAATATATGGGGTTCTTTGATATGCTGAATCTAACCATGTATTTAGATTTTTTATTTGTGGACCCCGTTATCTAATTGGTTCATATTGAGGTCAAAAGGGTCCAAAATTAAACTTTGTTTGATTTCATCTAAAATTGAATTATTGGGGTTCTTTGATATTCCAAATCTAACCGTGTATTTAGGTTTTTAATTTTGGGTCCTGTTTTTTAAATTGGTCTACATTGAGGTCCAAAGGGTCCAAATTAAACTTAGTTTGATTTTAACAAAAATTGAATTCTTGGGGTTCTTTGATTTGCTGAATCTAAACATGTGTTTAGATTTTTGATTATGGGCCCAGTTTTCAAGTTGGTCCAAGATAGGGTCCAGTATTTAAACTTTGTTTGATTTCAACAAAAATTGAATATATGGGGTTCTTTGATATGCTGAATCTAAACATGTATTTAGATTTTTGATTATGGGCCCAGTTTTCAAGTTGGTCCAAATTGGGGTCCAAAATTAAACTTTGTTTGATTTCAACAAAAATTGAATATATGAGGTTCTTTGATATGCTGAATCTAACCATGTATTTAGATTTTTTATTTGTAGGCCCCGCTATCATATTGGTTCATATTGAGGTCAAAAGGGTCCAAAATTAAACTTTGTTTGATTTCATCGAAAATTGAATTATTGGGGTTCTTTGATATGCCAAATCTAACCGTGTTTTTAGATTTTTAATTTGGGTCCCGTTTTTTAAATTGGTCTTCATTGAGGTCCAAAGGGTCCAAAATTAAACTTAGTTTGATTTTAACAAAAATTGAATTCTTGGGGTTCTTTGATATGCTGAATCTAAACATGTGTTTAGATTTTTGATTATGGGCCCAGTTTTCAAGTTGGTCCAAGTTGGGGTCCAAAATTATACTTTTTTTGATTTCAACAAAAATTGAATATATGGGGTTCTTTGTTATGCTGAATCTAACCATGAATTTAGATTTTTTATTTGTGGGCCCCGCTATCAAATTGGTTCATATTGAGGTCAAAAGGGTCCAAAATTAAACTTTGTTTGATTTCATCAAAAATTGAATTATTGGGGTTCTTTGATATTCCAAATCTAACCGTATATTTAGATTTTTAATTTTAAGTCCCGTTTTTTAAATTGGTCTACATTAAGGTCCAAAGGGTCCAAAATTAAACTTAGTTTGATTTTAGCAAAAATTGAATTCTTGGGGTTCTTTCATATGCTGAATCTAAACATGTGTTTAGATTTTTGATTATGGGCCCAGTTTTCAAGTTTGTCCAAGTTGGGGTCCAAAATTAAACTTTGTTTGATTTTAACAAAAATTGAATACATGGGGTTCTTTGATATGCTGAATCTAACCATGTATTTTGATTTTGGACATAATAGGTAAATTAAAAAAATTCTAGTTCTTAGACCACATTCTTTCTGTGTCAGAAACCTATGCTGTGTCAAATATTTAATAACAATCCAAATTCTGAGCTGTATCAAGCTTGAATGTTGTGTCCATACTTGCCCCAACTGTTCAGGGTTCGACCTCTGCGGTCGTATCAAGCTGCGCCCCAGCGAAGCATTTTATTTGTTATTATCTTAGATATCATTATAATATCTAATATCTAATACTATTAATTATGATTTTAACCTTATTTTACATGATTTCCAAAGCATCAGTAAATACAGGTGAGCGACACGGGCTCTTGAGAGCCTCTAGTTTTTTTATTTTTTGGGCAATCTTGTCAATTCTTGACAGTTTTGTTTAACCAGCATGCTGATGATTATAAAAAAAAATGAGAGCAAGGTTTTACTGTACCTTTCAGAAATCATAGCTATTTATAGCTTAGTTTACCTGTGTTTTCACCACATACATTTAGAAATTACTTCGTTTATGAAACAAATATTAATATACTGTAAATTCAGAAATTATTACGTGCATTTATTATTGCGATTTTTCAAGGATGGACAAAAATGCGAGTTTAATTATTGCGATTTTTGCTATTTCGATAAAATCTGCATACAGGTCTATGTTTCAGTTATCAGAGTGCGAGTTCTTATTATTGCGATACTCACCCAGTCGCATTATTCGCATTAATAAAAACCTCGCATTAATTTCTGAATTTACAGTAGATACAAACTATGGATGGTATGAGTTGAAACCTCTAATATAGTTATTACTTTAGTTTACCTTAAGTCCGACAATAAAATCTTTACTATAATTCTACAACTAGATTTTAAACGCATTTCATTTGAAATATTCAATAAACAATTATTGAACACAAGATTTAAATTATAATTTTGTAGGTCTTGGAGAACCAACCTATTTTTATGTTGAAGTTGTTTTCTGGTTCAGTGGTATAATGATGGGAACACTTTTCCTGTTTGGAACATTTTTGAGGTAACTTTGTATTAAATGAAACTGTTATCAATAGTGTAAACAAACTTATTTTTGTTGATAGTTTATTTCCTGTTTAGTCCTTTCTCATCAATCTAAAACAGTTTATTTATGATTGAGCTACAGATAAGAAATTAAATAAACAGTTAAAATATTGATAAAACTATCATCATCAATTGAAAAGATATATATTTTAATTCAAGTACCTGTACTCATTTCTTTTACAAATTAACACTGTCCAGGCACATCAGGTAACTTTATTTTCAGATCCATTGATAGTTTTTATATAAAGTTCGAAACCATCAAACATTGTTTTGTTTCTTGCTTGTAAACTCAATAAAAAACCTTAGTTGACAACTCAGATAATTTTGATTAAATCATCTCACAATTAAGTTTATAGGTAGGATTGTTCACCGGTGAAATTGGTAATGTCAACGTCAGAACCGGGCGACCTTCCAAGATTAATATCTGACAAAATATCGTCATCTTTATCAAAATCTGGTATCCTGAATTCAAGAATAACATCAAGGGCAGATTGCATCAAATTCTACGGTATCAAATCCCTGAAACTTGACTTTTAAGTTAGAAAAATATTCATTTCTGAAATCTATGTCTGGCATTATTTTACTGTAGTCAAGAAAAAAAAACCCAAAAATGCATTTCCATATATTTTAACAAATAGGAAACTTGAAATTTTCTTGACATAGTCCAAGAATACTCTGATGTCTGGACAGACTGTGTAGGACTTGTTGGGGCTGTCGGACTTCAGAGTGTAGATCATAAAGAAAACATGGAAATTGTCGACCTAGATTCTAAATCCTAAAAGATCTATTTTCAAGTATTACAGCCTCCATGGCTGAGTGGTCTAAGTAGTTCATCCACAATATCACTAGCCTGCCAACACTGAGGTTGTGAGTTTGAACCCAGCATTTGACAGGTGCATTCAATGCTGATCTTAATTGACTAGGATTGGCAGTTTTTTGCTGAAGGTTGTGGTTTTATCCAGGGAATCTTGCTCCCTCCATCAATAAAAAGCAGGGTCCTGATATAGCCAAGAGTGCTGAAAGTGGCATTAAAAACCAACAATCAATCAATAAAAAAAAAATCAAGTGAATAAATCATACATCATTTGATTCCTTATTTTTTTACTCTGCAAATATGCAACTTTTATTCAGTGTAAACATTAACTTTTAATCATATGAAAATATTTCCTATTTTACAATTTTTTGTCTCACCTGTGATGAAAGTCGCGGAAAGCGAGACATAGGGATTGCTTTTCCGGCTCCGGCGTTAACAATTGTTAAGTTTTCTGCTTAAGTTAGTTTGATAGGATCTACTTGTGGTAGATCAATGATATTTTGTATGAAGTTGCATAGGATCTACTTACAATAAAAGATATTTTCTATAAAGTTACATTACTGTCTGTACATCTCAGTTTGTCTCCATTTTCAGGCCCTGCCCACTAGATCATGGTCCAGTGACTGAATTAATAAGCAATTAGATTATCTTTTTATGAATTTAATGCTGATAGTCGTGACATATCTCTGTGTCAACAGTTTATATAATGATTGTATTGCCCAATTACGTATACTTCCTCTTAAGAATAAATAAATAAATTATTTAAGCATGCTAAAAATTACCAATAGCAATATTTTGCTCAAAATTAAACTCTTCTTTTCTTTTGCAGTGGCAGTCCATATGGGGGAATTCTAACTGTGTTGTCGTTCTTCTACAATCACGGAGAAGTAAGTTTTTGGTACACAGAGTACTAGTGACATTTTCATAATTTAAGCAGTATGCCAAGAGCCAGTCATTTTTAGTTCACCTGGCCCAATGGGCCAGGTGAGCGTTTCTCGTCACTTGGGGTCCGTTGTCTGTCGTCCCTTAACTTTTACAAAAATCTTCTCCTCTGAAACTACTGGGCCAAATGTAACCAAACTTGGCCACAATCATCATTGGGGTAACTTGTTTAAAAAATGTGTCTGATGACCCCGCCTGCCAACAAACATGGCGGACATGGCTTAAAATAGAACATAGGGGTAAAATGCAGTTTTTGGCTTATATCTCTGAAACTAAAGCATTTAGAGCAAATCTGACGAGGGGGGGAGGGGGGGAGGGGGGGGGGGGGAGTGGAGATCTAACTGCCCTTAAATTTTCAGACGAATCAGACAACCCATTGTTGGGATGCTGCCCCTGAACTGGTAATTTTAAGGAAATTTTGCAGTTTTTATACGACTGCAAATTGCGGTCGTATATTGGTATCACGTCGTCGGCGTCAGCGTCGTCCGAAGACATTTGGTTTCCGGACAATAACTTTAGTTTAAGTGTATGGATCTATATGAAATTTAAGCAAAAGGTTCAATACCACAAAAGGAAGGTTGGGATTGTTTTTGGGGGTGATGGTCCCAACCGTTTAGGAATAAGGGGCCAAAATGGGGCCAAAACAAGCATTTTTCTAGTTTCCGGACAATAACTTGTTAAGGTAAGCTGTAAGGGGCCTCGGTGGCCGAGTGGTCTAAGTAGTTACTACTGTAATCACTAGCCAGTCAACACTGAGGTTGTGAGTTCGAACCCCGCTCATGCGGGTGCACTCGACTCCAATCTTAATTGACTAGGATTGTCAGTTTTCCTATTGAAGGTCGGTGGTTTTCTCCGGGCATTACGGCTTCCTCCACCAATAAAAACTGGCCGCCACAAAATAGCCCAAAAGCGGTGCTTAAAAGTGGCGTTAAAACACCAAAAATCAATCAATCAATAACTTGTGTATAAGTATTTTGATTGCTCTGAAATTGTACCACAAGGTTCAATACCACAAGTATAAGGTTGGGATTCATTATGGGCGTAATTGCCCAAACCGTTCCAGGAATTAGGGGCCAAAAAAGGTCTAAAACAAGCATTTTTCTAGTTTTCAGACAATAACTTGTGTTTAAGTGTTTGGATGTCTCTTAATTTGTACCACATTTTACACAAAGAAAAATTTCTTCAAAATTATTTTTTTGGAAGGGGGGGATCAAACAAAATTTTTTGGGGGGGCAATTTTTTTTCCTCAAAAGAAAATTCTGTTCAAATATTTTTTTTTTGAGGGGGGGGGGGGGGTAAAAAAAAAATTTTAGGGGGAGGGGTCAATTTTTTTTTTTCTCAAGATTTAAAGATTTAAGAAATTGTCAATTTTCCAAAGAAAAAAATTGGGGTCACAATTTATTTTGCTAATTCTTTGTATATACTCTGAAAACAGATTTACTAAGTATTGCGCAACAGCACAGTGTATTGCACAACAGCAAGAAATCTTCAATTGAATATAAATTCAAATCATACAACCAATTTCAAGTTCTTTGACACATTTATTCTGTGTCAGAAACCTATAATGTGTCAAATATTTAATTACAATCCAAATTCAGACCTGTATCAAGCTTGAATATTGTGTCCATTTTTGCCCCAACTGTTCAGGGTTGGACCTCTGCGGTCGTATCTGGCTGCGCTCGGCAAAGCAGTTTATTGGTTATTATCTTGAATATTATTATAGATAGAAATAAACTGTAAACAGCAATAATGTTCAGCAAAATAAGATATACAAATAAGTCAATTGACCCCTTAAGGAGTTATTGCCCTTTATATTCAATTTTTAACAATTTTTCGTACAAAAATCTTCTCCTCTGAAACTACATAGACAAATTAGACCAAACTTGTGGCCATAATCATCATTAGGGTAACTTGTTTAAAAAATGTGTCTGATGACTCCGCCTGCCAACCAACATGGCCGACATGGCTAAAAATAGAACATAGGGGTAAAATGCAGTTTTTGGCTTATATCTCTGAAACTAAAGCATTTAGAGCAAATCAGACGGGGTAAAAATGTTCATCAGGTTTAGATCTATCTGCCCTGTAATTTTCAAACGAATCAGACAACCAGTTGCTGGGTTGCTGCCCCTGATTTGGTAATTTTAAGGAAATTTTGCAGTTTTTATACGTCCGTTTACGGGACGTATTATGGTATACTGTTGTCCGTCCGTCCGTCTGTCCGTCCGTCGTCAACATGTCGGACAATAACTTAAAAAGGCATTAACCAATCTGCATGAAACTTTGGTGAATGGTTTATATCTATTGATGTGAGCTCCCTTTCATTTTTTTACAAAATTTTAGATATTTAATTTCCGAGTTATGGGGTTTTATTCATTAAAAAAAGGGGGATTTTCCAGTTTTCGAACAACAACTCAGCAGTTTTCATGAAAGTTCGGTGAATTGTTTATATCTATTGACATAAGCTCCCTTTCTATTTTTATAAATTTTCTGAATTTGGGTGGCGTCACTTTTACCGTTCTAGAGTTATGCCCCTTTACAAATGGAAAAATTGTTGAATTTTTTGTTTCCATTCTCTAACTTTAGCCTCTTCTTGACACTAAACTTTTACAGCTTTTACTCTAATAAAACAGTGAATGCTATAAAAATGTGTGCAAATCAAATTTACTCCAAATTTTATACATGTATTGGTTTTTGGGATTAGTGAGAATTTGAAAATTTTCTAATTTGTCATCTGAGAGTTATGGGACTTTACCATCAGATTTAAGGTAAATTTTCACATTTCTTGCCCAAGGTTGAGAATGCCTAGATCAATTTGTCCCAATCTTTAAAATTGCTGCTGGGATTGGTGGAAGTAAGCAATTTTGGCCCTTTTTCAAATGCTATTCCAGAGTTATAGGACTTTTGTATATGCCAAAGGATAATCTCCTGCAAGTTTTTCTGCAAGGCCATTTACTTACTTCAGATTAAATGCCTTCTACAATATTCAATTTCATTCTTGTTACTATTTAAAAATGCATAAGACAGCCAATCTTTGGTGCAGCTATTTAGTGGGTATTCATGGTCGCCTACTTCAGACCATACACTGTTGCTTCCCAAAATTCAGTCGTGTTTTTCTTATTGTTTCTAAGTTGTTGTTATCTTTGTCAAGCCTGCGACTTTTGTCGCAGAAAGCTCGACATAGGGATAGTGATCGGGCTGCGGCAGCCACGGCAGCATTAACTAACTGCTAAAAACCTTAATAATATTTCAGAAGGAAGAAGACCTGGATGCTTCATACTTTGTATATAGATACCTTATGTTATGAAGTTTCCGTCTGTCATATGTCCTTTGTCCTTGACCTCATTTTCATGTTTCAGTGACTACTTGAAAAAAAAGATAATATTTTTTGTAATGTTAATTTCTCTCTTATTATGAGTTATAAGATAATTATATTTGGTATGTGCATACCTTGCACAGTCCCCATGCCTGTCAGACAGTTTTCACTTGACCTCATTTCATGGATCAGTGAACAAGGTTAAGTTTTCGTGGTCGAGTCCATATCTCGGATACTATAAGCAATAGGTCTATTATATTTGGTGTATGGAAATATTTTATGATGTACATGTCAGTTTGGCAGGTTTTATTTGACCTTGACCTCATTTTCACAGTTCATCGCTCAATGTCAAGTTTTTGTGTTTTGGCCTATTTTTCTTAAACTATAAGCAATAGGTCAACTATGTTTGATGTATGGAATGATTGTAAAGTGCACATGTCTGTCTGGCAGGGTTAATCTGACCTTGACCTCATATTCCTGGTTCATTGGTCAATATATTGTTTTCATGGTTTGGTCTGTTTCTTGTATACTATAAGCAATAGGTCAACTATATTCAATGCATGGAGTGATTGTAAGGTGTACATGTATTTCTGGCTTGGTTTATCTGACCTTGACCTCATTTTGTTGGATCATGATAAGTTAATGTGATACTTGTAGTAAAACTTAATATTTAGGGCTATCAACATAAAATCAATGGTAGTAAAGTAGGCGAGACATTTCAGCGTGTGCTCTCTTGTTAAGAAATATGTTAGTAGGAGTATTGCAGAAAATGATGTTTCTGACCTCGCTGTTAATTAAAATTAAATTAATGTATTGTTTATTCAATTTAGTTTATGAAGTAGGATGATACTGATTGCAAAAACCAATGAAATATATGCATGGCAATATGATCCTAGTGGCTTGATAGATCCTAATGATTCTAACTCCATTATAGTATTTCAAGTGAGTTTATGATGTGATGTGATGGATGCCAAGTGATTGCAGTAACCCTAATTTATAAGAAGGACTTTTCTTTTATCTTTCTTTCTCATTGTATTGTATACTCTTATATTCATTTATATCTAAGTTCTTTGTTGTTTAAAAGTATCTACTTGAAGTGTGTCATTTTTTGTATGTTAATGTCCTAGTGATCCAACTCTTCATTGATAGACCATACTGGCATATTTCAGTTATGTTGCCCCCTCCTTATATTGGAGTCAATCTTTAGTTTACCATATGATACCATTAGGTAATCTAATACCAGCCCTGAGAGAACAACAATTAAGACCATGAAATATTCATCTAGATTCAAACCTCAAACTCTTTCCTCTGAACTTAAGTGGGCTTCCAAATTAATTATACTTTCTTATTATCCTTGAGAGACCACATAGACTACCTTAATGGTAATGGTTGGTATTAAACAAAGGTATGAAGTTTACATCCATGACATCTTTATTAATCTAAATCAAATAACTATAATTTGGCACTGTGGAGTCAGCTAAGGGAAATTTAGCTCCAGGCCTTGTCGACAAACCTTGGTGAAAACCAAATGGCCATGTACAGGACACTCCGTCAGCTAACCGTAACGATATTCCTAAGAGATGATGAAGCAGGAGGCTACGATAAGATAGGGCTGAATTGACAGTGGAGAAA